CTCTAAATTGTCCGTAGGTGTGAATGTGAGTGTGAATGGTTGTCTGTCTCTATGTGTCAGCCCTGTGATAGTCTGATGACCTGTCCAGGGTGTACTCTGCCTCTCTCCCAATGTCAGCTGGGATAGGCTCCAGCCAGTGACAAGCACTTAAAGGGTTATGTCCCTCTGATAAAAGACACTTTCATGGTGATCTGTAATATGTTTTGCATTTACGCCAAAAACATCACTTGTCTTGCAAACTTCTCGAATATTAAATACATTACAAGATAACTGGCAGCGGACGGAAACAGCTCTTCCGCAGCGCACACGTGCATCTGGCCTCACCCCATCTTCTTCGTCTTCTGTTAAGTTTTATGGAAGTTGTCGTCCACAAGTGTTGCTTTACTGCCATCTGCTGGCCTCACCCTTGCACCATTTATTCCGCTACGCCATGGCAATACGGAAATGTTCCTGAATGTAGTGCATGTGTTAATGGTGAAGATTACTAGTGGTGCTTCAGGGTTTTAACAGAAGCAGATGAGATCATAGTTAATCATACTGAATTCATATTGAGTTGTTCAGCAAAAAGTTTATCGAAAGGGTCGACGTTTTTCTATTTTAATTGATTTTCAGTTTTTCTAGAAAATAGATTTTACACGACTCAGAATTTTCCAGTTCAGTATTAAAGTAAATGATAAGTAGCATCCTAAAACATCTTTCCCAAAGGAACAAAGCCCTGATATTAAGATGCCTCTCCCAAGCCCTTTTCCTATTATTTCTCAATTTGTCATCATTTATTGATGAGCCATCAGCAGAGAGAGAGAGACGCAGCGTGATTTAGCACTGTGGAATGGTAAAGCACAGCGCTGGTTTCAGCGGGTTCGTCTGAGATCTTTAGATGTGGCTCTGGCTTCAATTACACATAGCAACCAGATATTCCCAGGATAAGAGCAGAACACAGATTTGTGCCAGGACAGATTCTCTGTCCCATCTACTGTCACGTCTGTCTTGGAAAGCCATGAGGAGGGCCATAGGTCATTTCTGATCATTTGACAGTTTAAGGCAGCAGCAGCTTACAGATAATTGACCTTGAGGGGTCAGCGAAGCGGTGTGGGAGAGAATGCAATGTCTAAGATAAAGACCAGGGAAAAAAATACAGCTGGATTGACTCTGCTATGATATATTTGAAAATGGATCTGAAATTTGATAAGTAGTAACCTGCAGCGTTCCGCTGACTGAGGCTGTCATATTTCACTGCTGTTCTCTTATATCATGATTTACATCCCAGTCAAAATGATCCTGATGGCCCACAGAGATAAATGTTGTGGCCTGCTGGAAATATGTCCTAATGTGTACCATGGTGTCCAACTCCCAGTTTTCTTACCCTCTTGCTGTCTCTCTTTCACTCTCTTACACCTCTCTCACACAGTCATCTGTCTCCATTCGACGTTACACTGCACAAAGAAGCACTTGTCCTGCGCGCTACACTACTCATTTGTCAGTTGTGCAACAGCGGACAATCCAACACTTAATAACCCGGTGGCACGGCGCTGACCTTAAAGATGCCTGTTGATTTAAGTGATGGTGACATGTGGAATCCTCCTATGTACATGTTGCACTGTGGGTGAAGGATGTATTTTCTGATGTAACAGGAAATCCTGAATCGGTCCTAATCCCTAATTTAATCCTGTATTTACTTATGCACAGCTCTTTCCTTTTATCAAAACGTGCCTTCTTTTACAGCCAAAACCGAACTGGAAACACAAGAGAAGCAGCTGGCAGACACTCAGAAGATGTAAGAGCTTTCTTTTTCTTTAAACATCTTCCTTCACCTTAAACGCAAACGCACTCCCCTCTGTTCCATTTCAGGGGTTTTGCATTTGATCTTTTCTCAAGCGTCAAAACAGCGATCACAGTTGTGAATTTGAAAGCAAAGTCAGCACAGGATAATGGAAGCCAATCCGGTTTGAAGTGAGATATTCTCACTGCAGTGAAGAAACATAATCTGACTGCTTTGTCAATATTTAGGAGTCCTGGTTCCTTCAGTTACATGGAAGGTGCAGGCCATCATGCCAGGCCTTCTGTAGACGGGAGGCCCCCTGTGCGGTGTCTGTGTTGTTTATCTAAGCGGAGCGAGAGTAGACAGCCTTGGCTCCAGGCTTCTGTTACTGCTGGCTAGGAATGTGTTCCTATAGCACACTCCAAACAAAGAGACCCCAACCTGTCCACTGTATTGATCCACTGCAAATGGCCGCCACATTTAACACTTTAACATGTGTCATCCCCTGCCGTACGCACGCTCTCCTGTTGCTAGATTTGTCTTTGTCTGCTTGTTGAACATCTTTTTTCCTTCCCCTCTTTCCTCACCCATGCTTACACATACTGTGCAGTATGTGCGTGTATGTGTACACAAACTTACACTGAGGCTTATTCACATGAGGGAGAGGAGTGGCAAAACTAAACACTGTATATTAGATGTATTAGAGTTTTATTTTTAGTCCTGGAATTTAATTTGTAAGAAAAATCCGAACGCTGCTTTAGAGGCAGTAATTCCATTTTGTGTGCTCTGTTCTTTTCTAAAATGCACAGTCATCATTGGTTTGTGTTTTTTACGTTACTCTACTATTAAATCTCTGAAAAAGCATATTATTCCAAGATTAACTTTCATATTTTGCATATTTGCTCAGCACGGCCAAGTTTCACAACAATCAGTGTAGGTTTCTGGAATTTCATGTTGTAATAGTTTGGTCTTGAAGTAATGTTTTTGTTCTCTTTCCTCAGCTTCTTGGAGTTGTGCGTGTCCTTCTCAGTTAAACCCAAGGCAGGAGAGAAAGAAGTCTCTCCCAACACTTTCTTCTCCATTTGGCACGAGTTTTCCTCTGATTTTAAAGATCAATGGAAAAAGCAGAATAAGCTGATGTTACAGGAGAGGTAAGAATATGATGACGAGTTTCCTGTTTCAGAATGCGACATTATACTTGAAACCTTCTTCTGACTGAACCTACTGGCCCTAAAATCTTTCATTTTTTCTGTGTCTTTGGGAACAGTTCACCATGCTCTGACCTTTAAAATGTCATTACAGATACACTAATGTTCCTACATTTAGATGTTTCCCCAAGCCAGAATTCCCGAACCATTAATAACTTGCAGTACATCTCATGTTCACTGAAGATCCTATCAGATTCATTCAAATTCAGGAAGGGAAAAGAGGTTAAATGACCCAAATCTTTGTCCTCACCCCAGTAATGAAAAGAACACATGCAGCATCCAGTTAGCTTCCAGTGGTTTGATGAATATAAAGATAATGTTGCATATGTCAACAAAAAGCAAATTGGTCCATTATGCCAAATGAAGATTGGATTGTGATATGTATTTGTAAAAGAAGCAAAATGTCACAAGCTTTGCTTGTTCAGTAGGAAAGAGTAAAAACACATTTGAAAGCATTAACTCTTTGCCCTTTGCCATCGGCAATCATCCCAGTTCTCTCTCTGCTGGTTTTTCAACCCAGTCGCCAGAGATAAAGTTGGCATTGTTCATTTCTGCAAACCAAGTATATGTTACATTTGTACGTTGTTATATAGCAGATACGTTGAAACTTTAAGTCTCTTTACCTTTGAAGAAGTAGTTTAGGTGCAAAAGCACATGGTTATAGTTCAAAAAAGATCATGTTGTGACTTAAAATACCCAGTTTTGGTGGCACTATTCCAGCTGAAATGCAGTGATGTCTGGGTATAAGAACAAAAAACACTTTTCTGGTCTCTATCCCAGGATTGCAGCAATATTTCTGTTAAAAAACAACCTTTGCAGGGTGCCCAGTAGCTCAGTGGGGAGAGTGGGTACCCCATGGTTAGATTCCAGGCTCTGGCCCTTTGCTGGGGGCAGGACGTCCCCTCTCTCTCCCTCCTTCACGCTTATTCTATTCTGTCTTATAAGGACATAAAAAAGCCATAAAATAATCTTAAAAAAAATTCTGTTAGTGGCACTATCTTGTCAGGAAAAGCAGCAATGCCCCACTAAAAAACTACTGCTTTACATGGCACTATCTCAAGTAGAAACACAGCTAAGGGTCGATTAAAACGCCCAGTTTGGTGCCACACTGCTGCAAAAAAATGCAGCAGTGTATCACTACAAAACACCCAGTCTGGGTGCCACAATCACCTCTGGAAATGCCATCATGCCTTGGTGGCAATATTCCAGTGGAAAATGCAGTGATGTCTCAGTACAAAGACAAAAAAGACACTTTTCTGGTCTCTATCCCACAAATGCAGCAATTCTTCTGTTAAAAGACCTTTGTACAGTGCCAGTAGCTCAGTGGGTAGAGCAGAGACCCCATGGACAGAGGCACTGTCCTTGCCACAGTGGCCACAGGCTTGATTCCAGCCCCCAGCTCTATATTGCATGTTGTACCCTGTCTCTCCCTCTTTCAGGCTTGTTCTATCCTATCTTATAAGGCATAAAAAAGCCCTTTTAGTGGCACTATCTCGTCTGGAAATCCAGTGATGTCTCGCTGAAAGAAAAGCTTTTTATGGCACTATCTTGTTAGGAAATGCAGCAATGTCTGACTAAAAACCTACTGCCTTTCATGGCACTATCTCCACTACAAACACAGCTATGCGTTACTAAATAAACAGCCATGTTTGGTGGTTAAAAGCTGCTGTAAACGCGCCGATGACTCACTAAAAAACAACCTGTTATGTTGTTTGGTGGTCTCGAAGATTGGCCTTCAGCTTGGCAGATGTCTCGCTTAGGTGTCATGCCATCCATCATCCCCTCTGCCTCCATATTACAAAGTCAGCTCATACACATCACTCTAGAAACGTTGATGTTATGTGTATAAAATGTACATATGTATCATAGCCGTGATTTTCAGAAACATACAATGCCATAATTTCTTCTGGCAGCTGAGCTGGGTTTTCAGACTCCACTGGAATTATAGATGATGATGCTCACCTGTGGGGACATGCAAACATGCAGCGCTGGCACACACAGTAGCCATGTAATGAGTCAAGGCAGGATTCATGTCTGTTGGTATAAATTGTTCTACACACTCAATGCCAACATGCTGATCATTTGTCTTTTTAAAGCACAAATGAGTAGTGACACTGCTGGCTCTCTCCGTGCAGCAGCGAACTGGAGTGAGTCATTTCAATGTAGGAGGACTGGCTCTTTGACAAACCGAGATCATTACATCCAAATACCACATGACCATAGTCTGGATGACCCAAGCTGGATTTTTTTGTACTGCATCTTCCCTTTTTTTATGGTGAAATAGTGAAGTTAAGCAGCAGTTATTTGCTTTTGAGGTCTCCACTGGATAGCTGATGGTTATTACTGGTGTTATTTCAGGGTCAAAATGGCTGAAGAGTGCTTCAAACAGGCCAAGGAGAAGGCTTCCTACAACGTGAAACCCAAACATGCAACTGGAATAGTGAGTCCGTACACTTCTTGTCACAGTTACTATTATACTGTCTCATCTGTGCTTTTATTTGTTGATTAAGCTCCAGCAGAGCCGACCCTCTTCTTTTTTCTTCCCCTGGTGCAAATTGTCTCCTCCCTCCAAACACTTGTCAGGGTGTTGAAGAAACAACACTCAATGAGTGCCAGTGCTGCCAGCTGTAAATAACTCAGGCCTGTTTCTTATTCCGCAGAAAGCAAAGCTGGGTCAGAAGATCTGAAGCACAGAACGGAAAATTATCATCACCCAGCCTACTGCACAAGCACTGTTTGTACAATCTAACGTGACTCATCAGTCACTTTTACAACATGTATTTTGCTTCCGGTATTTGTTTTCAGTTGATTTAGACCTGTTGTTTATTGAGAGTTGGTTCAAAGTGGATATTATATTGTTTAAAAGTGGACTGAATAATGACATTCTCAGCCACCCTTTCATAGTGCTCGCATAATTAAATGAAATACTACTACCAAAAGACATCCGTGGGCTGGGATGATTAAATGCGGTTGAGTCATTTACTAGAAAATGCCAGAAAATGCTCTGTGGAGTCTGAAATTTGTAATAACAATATATCCAAGCTTTTTTCAGAGTTTTATAAGCCATATGAAGCCTATTTTCTTTTTTAGTACAATTCCCAAGCCTAGTTTACTTGGAAGGCACGAGCACTTCCTCTTTATATCTCCCTTAATGGTGAAAAGCAAAGAATTTTATAACATTTCTACACGGTAGTTATGAATCACCTGCCAGACAGGAAGTGCCTTATCGCACAGTGGAGGGGTCAAGTCAGTGCTGCAGAGCAGAGCTGACTTTTGAGACATATCATCTGTAATTATGTTACATAGAAATCTGTTTTACATAGCCGGAAACATGACAGATGTTCCTTTTTTTAATAGTTTCATCAAGTTTGTTTCAGAGTGTAGTGATAATTATACATATGTTTCACATCTCTGTTGTGGTTTAGTTTGTCTGTTCATTAAAAAAAAACACGCATACCTTAGCGGTGTCATCTGCTACAGACCGACTATTGTTTATTCAGCATCATCAACATGCTTTGTTTCAAGCAAAATCCTATGCAGTTAGTTTTGCCTTTCCTACATGTGTGTGTACGAACTACCATAATGCAAATGGAGCAATAGGACCATGTGACGTGACGTTCATGTGCAATACCAACAATGTGTTTTGACTGAATACCCTTGACCATGAAAAAATATATTTATTGAGTAAAAGAAATGACAAATTTTTAATAAAAAATCTGCTGTTGCTGATTTTCTTCTGTTTGTGATTTAACCATGATATGAAGTACACATGTACATGCAGTCTGAACACCACTGTTGTTTTATATGAAATAGATTTAATATACTTTTCACAGACATACTTACACACATACATAAAATATATATATCCTGTATATATTGCATTGCACCTCCATTACACATGCTGCAGTATGTTTTTCCTACTGGCTAGTATATTTGTGGCAGATGTATACAGCCAGGTTTGTGTCCGAGCAGGTGGATGCCACTGGTCGTTTCTGTGTTGCTTAGTGTTTCTTGAAATCTTATCCTTGACATCAGCTTGTGTGTCGTTTCAGACATCATAAAAGTTAAGGAAAAGATACAGGACAACAGATACAAGACATCTACAGTTTAAAACATTGACGGCACACTGTGTAGTTACTGTAGATCCACCTGCAGGAAAACATGTCATATTACAGAAACTTTTTAAAGAGGTCACACTATTTCTACAGTTTCTTTAAGACACTGAATTATCAGCAGTATCCATAATGCTTTGCAGTTTTAGAACTCAAAGGCACTCCCGTAACTCCTTTTTCAAAAAGGAACATAGTGACAGATGTACAAATAGCCAGGTAGATATGAACTTTTTGAAGTAACAGAGGAACAGCTTGTTTATTGTTGTTGAAATTTGGCTGCTTCATCATCAGTGTCTCTTGCACAGCCACTTGAATCAGTCTCTTTCAGCAGCATCAGCTTGCCAACATGGCTGCTAGTCTCTGATTAAATCATTGTCGAGCCTTTGTTAAGTAATACCAGTTCCGTGTTTCATGTCATTTTATTGTGGGACAAGCCATTATTTGTACAACACAATGCAGAATAGTTCAACATGAAGCCAGTCCTTGTTTGGCAAAGTTTGTGACATTCTGCCTTCTCCTCAAGTGTTTTTTATCTTTCAAGTCCCTCCTCACAGTTTCCCATGGCCGCTCACTTCCACCGACATGCAGCGACACTGTTTGACCCTCTGCACCTTGCGGTGTCTGAAGGGGGGCTGCAGGTCTGGGCAGTCCAGCTGCACTGTGAGCTGTGTGATGCGGTGTGGCCTGCAGAAGGAACAGGACTGGAATGGCTCCTGGGCCTTGTTGTGGCTTTTCCTTCCAGAGCCTGAGGCTTGGCCTCGATTCTGGCCCTGACCCGAGCTGGGGCCCATATGGCGGGGGATGTAGAAGGAGTTGCACTGGCCATAGCAAAAACGGTTGACCACAGTGCGGCTGCGGCAGCCCTCCTCGCTGATAGTCTGACGGAGGGGTTGGGTCTTGCACCAGTCTCTGCGGAGGTAGCGCCGCTCTGTCACCACCAAGGCCTCTCGGCTGGAGGATAGCACCTCTGGTTTCTGCTGCAGTAGCCGATGGTGACGTTCTGAGGACAGGTTCCCTTTGGTCTTGTACGGGGATGGGATGGATCCCTGGGGCCGGTGCTTTTTGGTCTCTGCTGTGATGCAGAGCACCCCAGCCAGTATGACCGGGATAGTTATTCTCCACAGCATTCTGAAAAGAGAGAAGCACATTACTATGCATTACATTTCTAAACTGAAAAGATGACTTCTGAAGAACTGAGCACCTGTGGTCACATGAACAGAATCTAGAGTGAGTGAGTGAAACTGAGGCTGGTGTGACACTTTGAGGCAGTATGTGACAATACATCACAGTCAGACTGCTGTGAACATATCAATACTGCCAATCATGTTTGCAGTTGTGTGAATGTGTATTCACGTTGAACCACCTTTGCAGTCTGGCCTTCCAGGCATCATTGAGGAAATGAATCCATCACCAGGGCCCCCATTTGTCAGCATCTCTGTGTCATTACTTCTATTTGCTTTCCTCTCGGCTACGCAACTCTTCCAAAAATAAACAAAGCCCTGCCATCAAAGGATACACTTAAACACCCATAACGAGAAGGGGAAGTTGATTTTATTGGTCCCGTCGCCGGGTAAAATAATTAGGGCTTTGCTTACTTTAGTCATGAACTATGCCGCAGATATGTAAACAGGCATTAGAGAGGCCCATCTGCATGTTATTAGGGGAAGAGTTGGGGAACTCTACAGTACCCTTTGGGAGTCCACTCTCCTACTCTTTGGTGATATACTATGCAGCAAACTGAACTGGGAATGACCCATAGTGTCCATAATCACCATAATGCAAAAAGAAAGACAGCACGATCTAGAGAAATGATTCCTTAGCCATTCAGGATGGAGTATCCGCCCGTGTGCATGCTGTCAGTATTTGCGCCAGCACATTTTTGACCATCACTCAAGCATCTTTTCAGCAGATGTTGCTCTTGACAAGCGTTGCATGACATCAAGTCAGAAATTCTGACAGAGAACCAAACTGCCTCAAGGCCATTGGCTGCTCCTATTTGCAGACTCTTCTTTGCTGTGCAAATTTGTATGTTCCCTTTCTCCTTTCCTGGACCTGAAACTCACACTGACATGGAACAAATTACTTTATCATAATCCACTTTGTTTTTTGCCTCCTTTTTTTCTGCCCTTGACCCTGAGGTTACGGCAGCTCTGTCCGGGCTGCACGAGCACTCAAGTCTGAATATCACTGTCCCTGCGGCACTTAACGTGAGCTAGGCAGCAGCTGTTTGTCCATCAAGCAGAGGTCTAGTTCATTTCTGATCAGATTTTTTCTATAGTTTATCAAGCGATATGTTGGAGGTACAAAGACACAGAAGATCTACTTCATTTTGTAATGCTTTCTTGTGCAAATCTGATCTCTCCTATTTATTTTTGTGTTTTGTTTTCCTCATTAAGAGATCAAACCTGTGCAGAAAAGACAATATTTTGTACTCTGTGTACACTCTGCCAAGAAATCAGATGTGATCCATGCTTACAATCAAGTCTATTATTGATATTTGCTATTTTCCATCTGAGGATGTCCAGAAGACAAATGCATCATGATATCAATTTTCAATGAGAGCATCACTGGGAACTGATTTTATTTTATTTTTTTGCCGAACATAACTCCTCAAATATCGTAATCATGATGGAAACTGCATTTCAGATCAGCGCTTCTTCTGGAGGAAGACATTTTTGCATACACGCACAAGCCAGCATGCACACCCACCCATCATAAGGTTAGAATAACTTAACCAAAGACTCCCGCTGGGTCCTTCCACCACCTACTGCATCAGGGAGTCATGACCCCTCTCCATCTTCCAGTGATCTACCTTCCATGTATAACACAGTCTCATTTGTCTTGAGCTGCTCCATCTCTTTCCTGCTGACTGGGTATTTAAATGCATGAACCCCTGGTCAGGGGAACAGGCTCTGCTTCTGTGTGCAGGCTCTTGTTCTCTGTTTCCCTGTTCACCCACTGTCCATCGTTTAAAGAGGCACCCTGTGACTCTGGTGAGCAACAGCCTGCAAAGCCCCTGGGACTTTTGAGGGATGGCCTGACCGACTGTGTACATAGGGCATGACGGATGGCCTATACAGCCAGCAGCGGTGCTCCCTCTCCACTCCCAAACTCTGCTTAAGTATGATAGTGCCGGCCATGCTAAGCTATCCTCATTAATCTCTGCAGCAAGACAAATTGCGGTTTTGGGGTAGGGATTCAGGGGCTTCGGGGGGAGCTCCTGAGGTGGTTAGTGGTTGGGGTCGGGGAGATTGAAGGAAAGGGCCTGAAGAGATCGAGGGGTTTGGGACAGATGACCTACTGGGAAACAAAACCAACATAACTTGGCTTCATGCACGGTATATGCCCTTCTCCCACAACTGTATATCTCTCCACAAGCTGTTTGTCTCTATATTTCTTTCCCTCCCCATCTGTCTCTCTCTGTCACTCTATCTGTCTGTCTCTCCCTGATGTACAGCACCAATCATCACAGAGTCCCAGAGACGGAAGGAGACTGTGGTTTCGTGTGTTAATGCTGAGGCAGAACTGAACCGGACCTTTCTGTCTGCTAAACACTAATATTGTCCACAAACACAGCTTTATGTTTTACCAGAACCACAAATACTTGGGGGGACATGCTTCACTGAACTGTGGCAGACCTTGGTTCCAAAATTCAGACCTCTAATGAAATTACAAATACCAGAAACAAATACCAGAGAGACTGCTGAGCTAGACACAAGCCTTTTTGAAAACAACTATTATCATCAGTGGGAACTTGTTATGTTTTGTTTTTCACAATGGCATTATAATACCATGGTAATGTTCTCTGTGTGGATAACAATGGCTCTTTTTTCCCCTCAAATCTCAAAGTGAAATGAAAAACAAAATCAGTCATGAAAATCTCCAGCCGAGATGCCTAAATATTTGAATATTTCAGATTTTCGGTCGTTAAATAATTGAAAAAGAAACAAGAATCCTTTCAAGGCTTAAAAATGTGTGCGCACAGATGTGCTTCCACTAAACCATGTGAAACATCTTCCCAGCATGTCTTCAAAGGCAGGTTAAAACAAACAAAACCTGATGCCTCAATTATTGGTGCGTCAGAAAGTCTCATACACAGACTGGTAAGTGCAGTTAATTACAGTAGAACTGCATTTAATTCACCGTGCAGCTCAAACCTCAATCACACAAGGGTAGCTGCGCACACACACATACGTGACCACACACATGTGTGTGCGCACACACACACACACACACACAGAGGCAGACTCAAGCACACATACACAGGATATAAAGAGGGAAAGAGAGGTAAATGAAATGTTTTCACTTGGAGCCAATTACACAAAGAGGAACCATGTCATTATCTGCATTTGCGGATTCTATTTTCCCAAACTACGCTCGGCTGTTGGCTCATTAACAGTTGTGGGGGTGGGGGGGTCCTTTCGGGGGCTTTTCTGTGTAAATGTGTCTAATGCCAACATTGCCAGGAGGCTGCTTTAGGCAGTTTGGGCAGCCATTTGTCACCACAATCCATCTTGATAATGACTAGCAGCCCATATATAATGCTTTCCAAGCTAAGTACTGGCAAGAATGTAAGGCAACTCCTTCGCCTCAGCAACATTAAGTGCTTTAGAGGAGGATGAGAGGCAATTAGAGATGCTATGATAGTGCAGGGTTTCTCATTTCAGATCAGGATGACACTACTTAGCTTCAGTGATTAACACCACCTTCCATTTGAACTTAAAGTGGAATTTGTTTGTTTAATCCCTTAACATACAGATTTCCCCTTTGGTTTCCCCTTAAGTAGCTTCCACGTTGCTAAAATGGCCATATTTCACACTGTCTGACAGAATTACATTCTGTATCAGCTTGTTCCAGATCTTTTTGATCCTATACATGTTTACGAATGAAACATTGGAGCCAAATACTTTTTTTATGGCTTCACCATCCATCAAATAGAAATATTCTTGCTCAGTGTTTGGCTGCTCAGCATGAGTTTGCAATGACTGGCGCACCAGCAGGCCTCTGCGTGTTAAGGGGTTTAAAACCGGTTCTTTTAATCCATATTTTGCTCACAAGCAAGGTGAATGTTCTGTTGGTCTGAGAAAGGTTTATTTTAACACAACTGGCCAAAACGCGGCATTAATCTGCCATTTTAATCCGCTTTCCTCTGTGTTTTCTTAGTGCCTGCTCATCATGTGTAAAGCGTAAACTTCACGTGTTAAGAATGTCATTAAGGCTTCTGTGAAACGCCAGTTTTACTATCTTTAGAGGCTTACAATGAAGTGTTTTCTGTTGCTAAAGAAACTGTAATGTGTCTGCATGCTAAATCCTCTTTGACATCAGAGCGGACTGTACAAGGTGGTGCAGTCACCGGAGCCGTAAGAAGGATCAGAAGGCAAACTCCCCACTGTTCACTGCACGCATACTGCAGGAACACACACATATGTTCACACAGCAACTCGGATACACATCACTGCACACATGACTGTACACAAATACATAAATGATGCAAAAGTGAGCAAGGATATACACCTGTACACCTGAACAGAGAGGAGAAGAATAGATATTATTACAGATTCACTGTGCACACTAACATCATTATCTCTCTTTTTTCATATTCACTGCAGAAACTGAACTGGCTCTTAATCTCACTGAGATGTGCAGTACAACACGCTGTCATCACTCACTAATTCTCTCACTCACAACACTAATTCCCTGGAACCTCCAGCCACTAATTATAGTAATTTAGTAGACACTTTTATCCAGAACACCTTACAGCACTTTGAAGGCGTATATTTTTTACTATGGGTGGCCCCAGTGGGAATCAAGCCCTGACTGCTGGCAGAAATACTAAATAGCTGTACAACTACTGCTGGTCGGATTACATGGTTCTGTGCTTAGTCATTCAGAGACTCACTGAGTCACTCAGTCTCACTATATCAGTCGGTCTTTTACTGCCCACTTGTTCGGCACGCTCATGTGGGATATGTCGCACCAGCACTCACTTAGCTACACTTATTTCAGTAAATCCAAATGGTGCATGGTACTTTCAATCACTTTTCCCTTGAATAAGATCCAAAGAATGTTCATCTCTACAGCATTTATTGCTGTTTTAAAATCCTGTTATTTCAAATGAAAATTCAGCCGGTGACATGGGGTGAGTTATGAGTCCACGTGTATCAGCTTGCATCAAAAACTTTCTTGACTGACATGCCATTAAAGTGTAATCAGTGCATGCTATTTGCTATGGTACTTGACATTTTAAAATACCCATAGAAAGTTCTTGCAACCTATTGAAAGCGCCCCTTTGGCTCTTAAATAAAATGTTAAGTAGGTGTTAAAGCGGTGAAGCATAAATTATGGGTTATGTACCTCTCACCACAGGGCGCAGCGGGACAGTAACGCGTCAAGGATGCAGTCAAGGGAGGTTGTCCACCTTCAGTGGTCCTTGCGTCCGCTTCCAGGTTTCGGTTTCCATGGCAACATAATCTGTAGTATCCTCAGGCTTGTCCTTGCTCCTCTTTTCTCCCCCCTCACCAGAAAAGTTTCAAAGTCTTGGAGACAATCAGTTTTCCATCTCGCTGGACAAGATGTGTCTCTTTTGTTTCTTTCTCTCTCTCAGTCTAACTTTGGCTGTTTAGTCTTTTTGTTTGCTGTTTTACTAGAGAAGCTCCAGGTCTCAGTCACAGTAAGCTCTTATCTTAGTGCTGTGGAGCCTGTCTGTAGTCTGTCTTTGAGAGTGTTTGACTCACTGTAAAGCCTGCCTTAGTTTGAATCCCCACCACCCCCTTCCCTCCTCAAGACTGGGAGGGTTTATCCTGTTGGTCATTGTGTGAATCAAACCAAGCTTCACTTCTTTCATTTAAGTCTGTCTCTCCCTGCTGTCTGTCTCTCTCTGCCTGTAGCTATATTTACTTTACATCTTTTTTTTTTTTGTAATTCCCACCCATCCATGACATATCAAACCATTCAAAATGACAGCTTTTCCTTTGTCTTCTTTCATCCTTTCTTCCCTCTTCCTCTGTGTTTGACATTTACATTTTAAGGAGGTGGATGACATTTTGCCACCATGGACAATAAAGGTCAAAAGTGTGAAGAAACAATGATCTCCTTCAAAAACCCTAATTTATCCTCTCTCTCTCATTGGCACTGTGACCACATCACTTTACAACCCATAATCCCCAATCCATAAATCATTGCATGCATGTACCCAGACACACTAACAGGGTGCTTTGAAAAAGGCCACATTTCACATTCCTAGATGCAACAGAGACAATAATGTTTGTCTGTTCTGTGGCTCTGGCTGAGCTGACCACTGGGCACAGAGACTGAAAACACGGGCTGTCACTTCTGCCATCAAAGAGAGAAAACATCAACAGACCCTGAAAAACCTCAGACGGGTACTGTCTGAACAATAACCCCTTCAGCAGACCAGAGGATGATGACACTTTTGCATGACAAAACTTCATTTGTCTGAAGAGTACTGTGGTGCATTTTGCTGATCTGTGTCGAGGAGGAGCTGGTTGGTGAAAGGAGGCAGATCCCTGCTGTAGGAAATAATTTAACACCCTCTAGTGGCAGAAAGCAAAAGTGCATTATTCAACCACTGTTACCTGATTCTTTAAACCCTGCAGAATGAATCCTACACTAGTCTTAATTGCTAAAGCAGCACTGTGTGTTCAGAAGGTTAGAAAAAATCCAGAGCCAGCCAACGTAACAGATAGAGGGCCAACTTTAATAATACAAGTAAGTAAAAGTGTCTTTAAATATGGTATAAAAATAAATGCAGGAGAGAATAACAAAGAATTATGTTCTACATAAGACAGGAGACAGCATTTTTGTAGATTTGAATGTGACTTTACAAGTGCAATGAAAACCATATGTGCTAATTATTGTAGTGCAATAAAATAATGCAAAGCAAAATAAATGCACAATAAATAATCATAATAATAATAATAATATATATATGTATATATATTGTATATTCATTCTGCACAACACTTCCCATAGCATGACAAAGTATCTGTGACCTCAGATCATGTAAAGCGATGACATTGGTTAGAGTTATCCGTTTAAGCTGTCATTATATATTTTTTTCTATGTGTTTTTTTTTTCTTTTCTTTTTTTTTTTCTCTCTGACATCATTTGTTTCCGCTGGAAGTGAGAGAGGGGGCTCCGATCCCAGCAGTTACGATGGTAAGAACTGGAACGCTGGATTTAATTTCCATCAATGACATTTTTCATTTCGTCCAGTCTGTCAGTGTCCTCACGAATCCAGCAGTGCCTCTCTTGTCTGAGAATACTGGAAATATATCAGGTACTGTAAGAGGAGAGAGAAGAAGGAACATCCTCTCCATGGACATGCAACATCCGGTGGACAACAGACGAACAGACGGTCCGGCTCATCGCCCGGCTGAGCCAAGAGCGGATGGACAGACAATGATGGCGAAGAGATGAGATGGTCCCCTCCCTCTCCATGTCCCAGAGAGAGAGAGAGAGAGATGGCATTGATTTTAGCATGATGGCACACGACTGGTCAGCCTCTTGGATGCTAGTGGTTTCCCCTGTGCAGAGAGAGCAGACAGGTGGAAATGAGAATGAGGTCAATATGTAAATGTGAATGAGAGAGAATAAATACATGTCAATGACAATATGAGCAACCATGGACATGACATTACATATAGTATGTATACATAGAACCTATAAAGGTGCTAATAAGTGTGTCTATCATAACATATCTACAGTTACTGGTAGTATCACTGACAATACAGCAACTACATGACACTGTACAGTATGTATAATTTTGTATTGGACATTACCTGGAAGCAAGAGCCATCAGAACAAATTCTTACTTTTCTGTAGGGATAAAAAGGACACATTAAGTAAATCAATTTTACTGTGCAGAGGATTATATAAATTATAACATGTAGAGAGTAACAGTTTGCAACCCAGATAGATAAGAACTGCACTTGATGTTCAGCCTACCTTAAAAATGTGTATTGCATTCACATAATTTGTTAAAAAAACAACCCTGAACTATAATCCTAAAATCTTCTTTGCCAAATTGACAAGCAGAAGAGTGCAGGAGGCGTGAGACAGAGCAGGTTTTAAACACATAAATAGAGTGTGCCAGTAAACCCGGAACTCCGTTAGCACTTTTAGCACTTACGTTTTTTGAATGGGATTTTGGTAAAATGCCTCGAATAAGGTCTGTGGTTAACAAAAGCTTAAGCGAGTTTCAGGTTTTGTTGTACGACATAAAACACGTCAGTAAATACCCTACTTGTGAATTTTGAAGCTTTTACGTGTTGTAAAAAAGGTGGTTGCTAACAAGTTGCTCAATACGACTACAAACCCTGTCGGGGACATTAAACGTCATCACCACCAAACAGGCGAGAGTGCTGGCAGTCCATTACAGCTTCTTATTTAGCTTAAACAGTCCAATTTTCCCATTATACAATGTTTTTAAAATAAAGCGGCCGAAATCAGTTGAAAGCTTAGTGGCGATGACGTCAAGAGTCATGCGACGGTGGAGTAGTCACGTAGTCCGTTAAAGCCTAACGTTAGCTTTTTACTTCTGGCGATCGCATTTAAGCTTCAAATGCGGTATGAAAGGTGTTCATATGTGAAGATTATCTCGCTGAACAAAACCTGTAAGTATCATAAACTTGTGTTAGCCACAGAGCTTATTTTCTGACATAATCCAAAACGCAATACAAAAATCACATTCACTTTCTCTTCCGGGAACCAGCGCAATGCTAAACTTCCGGGTTTTGACGTCAGCCCTGCCACACTCTATACACCTGTGTGATTCTTAATTATTCATCATGTTATGACAGCCTCTGTGTCCCTGCTATTCACGATGGTTTCTGCAAACCCAATACCCTGATCGGCTAGTCCATCATGCACAGCTGACGCAGACTCTGTTAATATGTTTTACTCTCTCTCTCTGCCCCTCATTGGTATTGCTCACATGCGGGTGTTTGACATGTTCTTTTTCTTCCCTGTGTTAAAGAAGTTTTTCACTGCTGGAAAGATGGTCTTTCCACAAAACTGGGCTGTCTATGCAGTAGAGTGATGGAAATACTTTTGAAATTGCTGCCACATGTTCAAGCAAAACAGAGAAAAAGACCATGGCATTTGCTTTCGCTCAGGAGGTAGAAAACTACCAGAATGCACTGCACAGCACCTGAATTCTTTGATGCAGGAAACAATATGGCGGCTGGCTGGTAACAGATGATGTCGTGTTACAGTTAAATGGTAAGCTAAAGTATGTTTCTGCCTGATGTGCATCTATGCAGAAATGGTACTACACTTCCCAGTTAGCTGAAACAATTTCCCTCAGTGGAAACAAAGCTTTTATTTACTTTAATTCCACAGATAAGAAACAATAATTTGTGAAGATAACAAAGCTTCCACAAAATAGCATTTTATGTCTTGGTGTGATTTATCCTGGCTTCATATGAATGGAGGAAATCTCTGCTCGTTGCTAGGCTACGTTATACAATGTAAAATGCCATAGGCTTATGCTAATAACGTTAGCATGTTGTATTTGCTCGGAAAACGTGTTTAATATAAGACAGTTGTTTTGTCAGTGAACTTTGTGAGTTGTAATGGAGCTGAATTTTGTAACGTTACCTTTGCTAAATGTTGCTATTGTCCCTGGCTTCATATGAGAAGGGGAGAATTTCGCTAGCTGCTAGGCTCATTTTTACAATGTAAAATGCCATAGGCTTGTGCTAATAACGTTAGCATGTTGTATTTGTCTGGAGAACGTGTTGTGAGTGAACTTTGTGAGGCGTAATGGTGCCGAATTTTTTAACGTTACCTTTTGTTAAATGTTGCTGTTGTCCCTGGTTTCATATGAGAAGAGCGAATGTCCGCTAACCTCTAGGCTAATTTATACAATGTAAAATGCCATAGGCTTGTGCTAATAACGTTAGCATGTTGTATTTATTTGGAAGACGTGTTTAGTAAAAGACAGTTGTCTTGTTGGTGAACTTTGTGAGTTGTAAAGGAGCCGAATTTCGTAATGTTAGCTTAGTTACATGTTGCTGCTGTCCCTGGCTTCATATGAGAAGGGAAGAATTTCGCTACCTGCTAGACTAACTTATACAATGTAAAATGCCATAGGCTTGTGCTAATAAAGTTAGCATGTTGTATTTCTGGGGAAAATGTGTCCAGATAACTACTTGTGTTTGAAATTATCGCTATGAAGCCATGTTTAATGTGTGTTTTGAATTAACTAAACTTTACAGCACTTCACAGAAACCTCTGCCGCCGGCCAGTGTTTTGGAGGTGTAACTGCAGACTGACACAGACACAGCTGCACAAGTATAAATGCTCAAAGGCTGTGCATAGAGCTGATGCACAAGTGCAATTCCCCCTTTTGTTTTATTGTTTGAGTGAAGTATATTCAGCATCCGCTTTTACAATAAAGAATACAGTATGGTGGCAGTTCACAAGCTCTTGTATTACAGCTGAACTAAATCATGTTTCTAAAACCATTTTGGGCGTAACAAGGGCAATGCTGTAACAAAATCTTGGTTTATATATATATTGTTGCTGTTATTTTTTTGACAAACCAGCTTTCATTTATGAGTTACTGGTGATCAAACCACAAGTAAAAGGAACAGAAACACTCTCCATTGGGATGCTCATGTTGTTAATCTACAATGGTTTTCTGCCCCTTAGTGGTCAGAAATATCTGTATAAACTTACTGAGCTGAATTATAACACCCTTGCCCCTGCAGCAGAATATATGTCACTACAGGTGAGTGCAACAGCAACTAAATTTGCACGCTTGTTTTGTACGTGAACGGATTGCTGGGAATAGGCTTAAAGTGTGATTTAACAGACTCTGAAAAGGTGTGAGTGTGGGTGCCAGGAGGGCAGGTTTCAGTGGCAGGTTTCAGAGTGGGTGTATGTGCAAACAGCAACAAATGTTGTAAGCATGCACTGTCATCTGCATGTAGTTCTCTGTATTTCATCCTATTTCATATTAAAATGTTTATCCACTGTTTTGTGCTTTATACCTTCTTCTTGGCCTGTAATAACTCCTGGTAGGCACTGGAGCGGATGAAACGGCTGTAAGAATCACTCTTCATCAACTTGTAGATGTGTTCCTGTTGGAAAAACAGATAATGGGGCAATAATGTATAATGCTTGGTGTAAAAATGTACATAAGCCAGAAATTAGCTATTGATGTGATTTGATGTATTTGTATTTTATGCACCTGTGCATCCTCAAAAGCGTAGCGACCAGGATCTTTGACATTCTGGGTGGTTTTGTCGTAGCTCTTGGAGTCCACGTTGATGGCACTGGGCGCTCCGGGGGCCAGAAACTCCTGCCAGATCTCCTGAACCCGGGTTGGAACTTCTCTGATGGGACGCTTCTTTAGTTCCTGGACCGCTAGCCAGAACCTACAGGCCAAAGGTAACGGTAATTAATACAGCACAAATCAGAAGCTGCACAAGTAATATCAAACTATGTAAACTCATTTTAAGAGACAAAAATCTCACATAATAATTCATTAATTACTTCCCATCCCTTTCCATTTTTACACATATTAAATTAATAGAAGCATGCCTCCTCCATGCTTCCATCCAATAACAGGAGCGTTAAAACGATGCTCAACTGGCTGAGATATTAAAATGTAATTCAATTAATCTGACCACATTATCAGCTTTGGGCAGAGACAATACAGGCATGTACCATCAGAGGGAGCAGGGGAGCTATCCTGCACAGTGGTTGCTCTATTCATATTTAGCTGTTTGCATGCATCTTTGATACTCTGCAGTATTCCTGTTACCATGAATAAACCGATTAGCATAATATTCCTGCCCACCTGTGTTATTCTAGCCACAGCCACATTTGGTGCATATTTAAAAAAAAAAAAAGAGGAAGCTGCATCCACCAGCTCTCCCTGCTTTGATTAAACCGTCTTACTGTAGGTTACTCCTTATATGTGGAAGACGCAGTGACCCCAGTAATAACAGTGATAGGTGTTACCTTCTCAGAATTATGTGAGATATTACTGATCGTGGGTGTCATCAGAGAAACACATAAAACTGATGTTCAGTTATTCCAGTGTAACCATATGGGCATATACAGTGGGAATGCATATACTGTATGTTTCTGTGAGTGTTTCAAATAGAGTTCATTTATGTGTTTGTGTGTGCTCGTATTAATCACGTTGTGGAGACAAATATCTGTTCACACAGACACATTGTGGGGACCCATGTGGGAACAAAAAGCTGTTCCCATGAAATTCAACCCTTTATTTTAGGCTTAAGGCTCGGTTTGTGGTAGAGGGGTACAATTAGCAAAGGTTTAGGCAGCCGTGAGGGGTGTGATTAGGCATGTGGCAATTACAGTTAAAGGAACAATTCCTTTTTCAAATCAAAACACATGACTGGATCTTGTTATCTTACCAGCTATGTTAGTTAACAGGCAGTGGTAGAAAGTGAATACTATCCAATCCAAATTTTCCTCTTACCTGTAGTGCTGTTTATCAATCAACATTGTTTTGTGTGAGTTGTAGAGTGTTGGAGATAGATGTAGAGATGTCTGCCTTCTCTCCAATACGATGAAACTAGATATGGCACTCCGCTTGTGGTGCTCAAAGTGCCAAAAAGTACATTTGGAAGGCTCAACAACAATTTCATGAGTTTCATGAGTTTCATGTTTCTTTCTACCAAACTACACCAGCCAACCGCACCGTGCTGGTCCTTACAACCCACCCCACTGAGGGAAAGAAGATTTCAAGAGCTGCATTGAGCTAGCTAACATTATAGCTCAGCTGAGAGATGTACGCTTGATAATGCATGGTGATAAGGTTGGCAGGTGTACTTCGATAGAAAGAAAATAGTTCCTCCATGAAACTGTTCACAACAATGTCTGTGGATTATCTTGAGTAACCGGGTCATGATTTCTGGAAAGACACATTGCTGTTAGGTTTTCAAATCTATTTGCTTGGCTCTTTGAGCACCACAAGCCGAGTGCCATCTAGTAAAATTATATCGGAGAGAGGGCAGACATCTTTACAGCCAATATCTTCTACATCCAAAAAAATAAAGATTGATAAACAACACTACGGGAAAGAGGAAAAATATGTTGATTTTGGGGGTGAACTGTCACTTTAAGTACATTTTTAGGTGCTTCACCTGAGTATTTTCATTTTATGCCACTTTATACCTTTAGTCCACAAAATTTCAAATTTTTTACTACATTTATTTGACAGCTTGCTTTGCAGATTATGATATTACGAATTAAACCTATGATCATTTTAGAGAATATGGTGAATTGTTATAGATCAAACTAATTAATAAATGTTTACAAAGTAGTTTAAATGGGCTTTATCAAAAAGCTGTTTACATGGTAATATTCCAACACTCTGAAAAAGGCCATTCTGTGGGGTAAACATAGCAGTAAAACAGTCAGCAGTGGAAAAAAATGCAATTTTATTTGGGTGGAAGCTAAACTCTATAAAGTCAGAAATATAAACTGAGGCTTTAAGGTTGGATCAAGCAAACAAGGAATGAATTCAAGGCAATCCAATGTTCTTATAGATATTTTCTGTGTGTGTGTGTGTGTGTGTGTGTGTGTGCATGTGCATGTTGGTGAGTACCTGAGATTCTCTGAGCTGAACTCAGACTCCAGGAACTTGAGGAACTGCTCTCTCCCCACCGGATCTTTGAAAACCTCATCAATGCCGAAAGCCCACCTCTTTACCCTCTGCTGGCCTGGCTCCTTACTGGAGGAGGAAACAAGCATTCAACTGATGAATGAAGTGTGCAACAAAAAGCTAATGTATATTAGCTGATCCACTGTGTATATTCATCCAAATATATTATTGCTCTTCCTCTGGAGACATACACCCACCTGGCTTCAAGCTCCCAAAGTGTGGTGTCATCTGAGATCCAGGGGTTGGATGGATCTGGAGGCGTGAGGAAGGGGTCGTATTCGACGTACTGCTCTGTGTAGCCCAGTAAACTGTTATGTGAGGAGAAAATAGAGCGTATGAATGACAGCTATATGTGTCACTGGTGGAAATTTTGATCTGTATTATAATCTAGTTATCACATACAGTAAAGTTCTGCTCCGTTGCTTTCTGATAGTCACCATGAATTGCGTTGTCTGTTTGTAAGCTTTAATTAAAAAAGGGAAGTGGAATCCTACAGAGGAGTGATGCACCCACTTGAGAAAAAATGATTCTTTTCATGGAAACTTTTCTTAGATCTCTGACATAATAATCTTTTTAATTCAACAGAACAGGGCAAATACTTCTGCTCTCGACTGAATGCATTACATTTCCGTAGAATCCTCCTCAAACTGAAATAAAGTTAGAGCCAGACAAGAGGGACTGACCCTGTACTTGGACACAAGGCTCTGCTGAATGCTGAAATCTCTTTTCAGTGAAGGAAATGACAAATCGACACTTTGTGTGCCACCCAGTATCTGGTATCGTCAGCACTGACGCCCACTGAAGGCATTGTCTGGGCCCAATCACTCTCCAAGGTCATCGGAGCTCTTAATTCCACGCCATGTTAGGCCGTTTAAAGGCTCAATAAACAGATCGATGGCTAAACTGAATAAAGTCACAAAGAACATCGCTTACCTCTCTGCCACTTTGGACATTTTCAGTCGATGCCTGTCTAATTGCAATTGCCAAAAGGCGATCTGAAACCATAGCAGGGAACAATTAGCATACATCAGTCTCCACTAATTCACAAGAAATTGCTACTTTGCAAGTGTATTCACACACCACCCACATGATGTTTTTATTATTTGACTTCCTGTGTGCACTTTAAACTCTGTACTCATTTTACTCAGTTATGTACATATCACACTTTTATTAAAATTATACTAAAAAAATAATGCAACTATGAATTACAGATCAAAAGTAAGAACTAAAATTACAATTTAAGTGCTGGTATTGACTTCATATTGTTAAAGAGAGCGCTCCCTGCAGGTCTAACCTGTTCTTGCAGTTCTTCTTCTGTAGGCTGCTTGGCCTCTGGGGCGGGGGTGTGAGTCGGGCTGTGGGTACGGATATCATTCTGCAGCCCGTACACAGACTAAGGCAACAAAGAACAAAAAAATTAAATAGAACTTTCAATAGTAGTGGACTTATAGCTGCTGACAAGCACAGCAAGGAACAAAAAGCCTGTCTGTTCACGTCTGTGTTATCAAGCCTGACCTTAAACGAAAGGCGTGTCAGTGGGAAAATACTGTACCTTTCTGGTTTTGTGGGGGTTTTTCATTCTGGACGACTTCTTTATGTCAACTTCCGTTGTATTCACACATCCAGGCTGTTGGAAGAGCGAAGAGAAAAATCAGAAAATTCAGTTAATTCCACTTAAATTTAATATAATTACAACTTCAGCTGTTCCTGCTCTGCCCTCCAGAATAACGCCACAAACGGCGAAGGTGCAATTTCGCCACCGTGTTATGAGTTTCAGGTAATCAAATCCAATTTGCTTAGCTGGGGTGTGATTCTGAGAAGTCTCCGGGACAATGTGTCAGATGCCAGTTAATTAAACATGGAATGTGCCGATTCCAGCAAAACAAGTAAACCAGCGGGAAATCAGAGTCTTAGTGTGCAAATTCTGGCTGATTGAACAAGTGGTCTAATCTAGGTCTCTTCCAGAAGAACAGAGCTAAGTAGCTTGACAGCGTCACTGTGAAATTTGAATTAATATTGATTATGTTGCTCCAAGGACGCATAAATTGAACTTATTTTCCAATTAAGCATGGAGCAGCGGCTTTCAGAGAAATACAGCAGAGGAGACCCTTTAACCTCAGGGGGAAAATAAATGCTAATGCTTAGCAAGTGTGTATGAACAAGGTAGAGAGCAGCAGTGAATGCGATGTGTTGTGACAGTTATTGATGTGGTATTTCATGTGTAAGGCAGGGGAATGCACGACGGATGGTTTACAGCGTTCTCACCTCTTTACACCATTCCTATACTGTGTAGTTTATGTGTAAATCACATGAAGTGACATGAAAAACATAATTTCTTTGTCATACATCTTGATGCACCTCTGTTGCCTGGATTAAAATAACCCAGAGAGCGTAAATGATATACCATATCAGCAGTATGTAATTTTGAATGTGTGTGTGTGTGGTAGAGAGTGATCAGTGTGAAATTATTTTCCCAATATCCCTCACTTTTGCAGGAACAATTAAGATGATGTTGATAATGTCGGCAATGATATCGGCAGCAGCAAAGGTGACAACAACATCAGTAATTTCACTCACCACTGGTCTGTGCACGTCCCAGAATGCTCTTTCCTGACTGTCGAGAATTTTCCTCTCAATTTTGTCTCTTTTCTTATCCACTCTGGGGGGGAGAGAAGGGAGTTCAGAAAACAAAACATGCAGCTTATTCAAACACACCTACCATCTGTAATCGTGCGCTGGTAAATACAGGGATGTTGGAGTAAAGCTAAAGGAAAATTACCATTTTTATATCAATTTATCATTGTGTGTTAAATTGAATATATGATGCCTCCACCATGAATGAAAAATCCAAAAAAAGGTGAATGTTCGTCATGAATTGAAGTCATTGGGGGCCACATTTATTAACAGCAAAACTCAGTTGCAGCCCTCGCACATGTGGTGCCCTAGGCGAGCCTTCCCCCCAGCGCCCCTGGGCTGATATGAATGTTTGAATGAGATGAATGTTTGAAATTACAATTTCGCCAGTAGCTGATACCAATGTTTTTATATTGCCATTTCTGCTGTTTTCTGGAGTGGTTTATTCTTCTTTTGTGCCAGGGAAATGCAGAAATCTACACTATTGACAAAAATAAATGAACAGTTTTAAAGTCATTCAGTCCTTCACTACACGACCTTTGAATGAGCACAAATTCAATAATACACATTCATGAAACAACCTTTAACATAACCTTATTTCGCATGAAAAACCAGCTCTCCTCCTGCCGATTTCATGGGTTTTTTTGTTCACATACACTCCTTTCAGTAGTGTAGTGAGTTGAGTGGGCACCAGAAAGCTTTTGTCGTTTGACGTGATGACAATACAGCGTGTTTCGGGGTCCATGTGACGTCAGAAGTGGTGAGCTGAGGACAGGGGCTGGGGAGCAGCAGGAACCCAAAGCTTTGCTTTGTAGTTATGTTGTTGTGGCCTTATGTAATATTACAAAATAATAGTAATAATAGTTTTAGTACAAAATAGTAAAAGATGAACATTTTGATTATTTCCTTCCCCCACTTGTGGCATCTCCGCCCCATGGATGACGGCGCCCTCAAGATTTGCCCTCACTGCCTATGCCACAGCCTGGCGCTGGCATAACTGCATCAAAACATCTGATAACAAACTCTCACGCAGCTCGGGCAGTATAATCAAAGTCTCATTTACCCTGTAACATACTCATTTTTGGTAAAACATTACAATTTAAAACATTTCCGCCTACGGGAAGTGCACTCTGAGTGTGCCTAGGCATGCGTGTGCATATTAGCTCCACTTCAGTAGAGTTCAAACGCACACGCTTGCCCAGGCATGCTACAGTCCTTGGCCGTGCATGAGACTGTTTTGAGTGGTGTGTTTTAAATTGTAATGTTTAAGCAAAAATGCACGTATTTGGGAAGTACTGAGCATACGACTTGATAAATGGGACTTGGATTACACTGCATGATTTGTGTGCGAGGTTTTAAACAGGTGTTTTGATATCGTTCTGACGTTTAATGTGGCCTTTGCTTATTTTAATTCATGAAGAATGTTTGCTTTTTTTGGATTGTTCGTTCACTTTACGAATTCAAGGTAACACAGTGAGAAGTTGATATGCAAATGACCATTTTGCAGATGAAGTGTTCCTTTAAATCATGTCAGAATGAGGGTGTAAGGGGACTTGCTCATAATGGCTCAATGTGTGTGTGTGGGTCTTATAGAAACCTACTTCGCTTGTGCTTCTGCTTGCATAAAAATGAACTCCCATTTCCTGGCGAAAGCTCTCTGTAGCCTTGCTAAGCTCTCCTGCAAGTAAAACAAAGAACAATAAGGTGGGGAAAGAAAGGCTTTTGAGGGATCTGGGCTGATTATGTTTACCGCACATGATGTGTACAGTGCACGGCTGGATACCATCTTTAATGATCCCAAAAGCAAAAAAACACACCCTGAGTTTAACTAACCCGGTGATTCATTTAATAGCTTTGGTGAAAAAGGAAAGTTACCAGTGATGCAGTGGCACACAAAAATAACAAATGTTTTCAGTGTCAGCATGAACAAAAAAAGGCAAGAGATAAAGGCTGAGAGCCGAAAGCAGAACAGATATGTGAAGAGAGGAGCACTGACACTAAAAGGCCTCTATCACTTACCGCTTCATAGTCTGCAAGCTCCAGACGTGCTTTATTTTGCATTGTTCTTTTGCAGAGGTAAACAGCTGAGAGACAGAGACAGAGAGATCCGTAACAGAGGGAGAACGGGATTTCAGCTTGGTTTTAACAGCCTTAAGTGGCCCTGCGTTTACTCATTTAATCCTCTCAACTGCACATTTAAACTGGCCTGCAAATCACAAAGGTCATTGGCTGTGCATGGTGTCTGAGCGCCTGTTACAGTGTGTGCTTCTGTATGTGTGTGTGTGTGTGCGCGCGTGTGCGCGCGCGCCTGACTTTTGATGTCTTCCTGTACTATCATCATCCCTTCATCCCTTTGTTAACTGACCATTATGTGGAGGCTTCATTATGCCATTACGCTGTTTTCATTAAGGGGCATCATTCATGTGAATCAGTTGCTTCATCTGAGACGCTCTAACTTCCCCTGACGCTCACGGGATTATTCCCACGGCGAGCATTAGCCACATCCTTCTCCTACAACTCACAAAACAAATGAAAGACCTGCAAGGCTGCGGCTATTCTCTCAAACCATTTTTGGCATTATGAAGTGTTTATCTGCACTCCACTCCGCTGTAAACAATGAAAAGCTCATCCCTGTATTGCCGTTAAAACCTTGAGCCAAATGTGCACAACAGGTGCACGGGCATGCAAACACATCCCTGGTTTCCTTAAATGTTATCAGTCTGCATCAGTCAGAGAGAATGCCTCAGGCAATCGACTGAGGTTGCAAGATACTGAATATATAAATATATAAAATAGAAATAGGAGTTATTGCATGCCAAGTGCACTATAACCATTTCTGACTGTGGGCCAGGCAGCTAAAACGAAAGGTGATTTCATGTTTCTACCTACCACCCTGCAGTTGCATCATCTACGTTTCATCTTTTGAAATTTTAGTAACACTTGCAGTAATAACATATCTACTGGACAAATGCACTACACAGCATTCTGCAGTTTTAGCCTGCTCATACTGCACTCTGCACAACACAGGCATTAGAGTATAAGAGAACAGCTCTCTCACCATAGTCTGTGTTTTCTGGTTCCCAGCAGTTTGATGGCCAAAAGTATGGAGTCTGAAGGGAAAAACAGGTCATTAGGAAACAAAACCAAGAGAAACCTTAAATCTTTGACAGTGTACAGCGAACCACATGGCGTTTTGGATCAAAGTGTGCCCTGTCATGCGAGGTGGGCACGCAGTCGCAGCCCCGCATCTGTCACAATAAAACATTTTGTTGTATAATGGGCTCGGCATAACGTCTAAAGCACATAAGCTCCTTTCAGTGAGTGCTGAGAGCAGACACCAGCATGAATCTTGACCCTCCTCGGGGCAGCGCTGTATGGACTGGACTGGCTTCAGATGGAAACCGATTGCACGTAAAGAGCAAAGTGAAGCCGGCTACTAACACAAACAGCCTTAGGCATTGATCTACTTTGGTTAGCTCTGTGCCGCACACTTGGGGGAGCTCGCAGGGTGCAAAATCACTAAAACTGTCAATCTCACTATTGACATTCAGAGTGATGTTTTTTTGTTTTTTTTTTTCCAGGGACTGTAACAATTATGAAACACAGCAACTCCTAATCAACGTTCTGACTCTGGCACATCACACAGAGGCACTTCAACAGATTTATGATGATTGTGGCTCTTCTCGTGTGTGAAGTGATTTTTGTTCTTTATTTTCAACAGTGAAGAATGAGCTTCAGATGTTTTATGTAGAAATGACAATACAGTTTACAGTAGGAGTAAAGAGAACTCCCTCTGCACAGCCAGTCTCGAGGATCAGGTGCTGGTTGGCCTGCAGGAGCATCTCAGATAAAGCCATGAACATAAACCACCGCACACTGAACTGAATTACAGTGATTTTATTAAGAGCCAACAACGCGTTTCGCCCGTGGCTTCTTCTGGTTCGCTTTGTTATTTGATCTATGTTATTTTGTGTAGCTTTATTATGCTTTTTGGATGAATTGAAAGTTATCTTTTGAAGAAGGTGAAAGAAAATATATTGAAATAAGAAAAACTGTGGTAATTAATGTGACACATGTATATTTAACACACCTGTGAGTGCTCATGTGATACTTCAGTCCCAAAAATCTCCTGCAAACCTGTCAGCATACCACATGACTCTGCACTCTTAAACTCAAAACTTTCTCTACAGTTCATTTGATGACATAACGTGGTATGACCTGTTTAAAAAATGATCCCATGTGAAGTGTTTCCCCTTCAGTCATTTTTAAATATTTCCACAGACTAATAGACTAATAGCGATATGATAAGACCCTTCAACACAAATAAGAATCCGAGCATTATCATTCTTACCTGAAACCTATAGAAAGTGCCATCGTCTTTGAGAGTGAGGACGTGGTCTGAGATGGGGAAGAAGTAACCATGTGCAGCCATCAGAGTTCCTAGGTGAAGAGCCTCCACTGGGAGAAAACACAGACAAATAGTACATTTAAAACTCAGTGTACTTGTATCATTTGTGTCAGTTTCCCATGTTATATTGTACAACAACACGTACAACTATACTTCTTATTTTAGAGCTTTTATTGCCTGTATTACAGAGCAGCTGGAGAGTGACAGGAAAGGGGGGAGAGGATGACACGAAGTAAATGACTTAGCCTACATGGGGCACACGCTCTGCCACGTGAGCTAGAAGTTTCCCCACAGCTTTACTTTCCTGTATTTAAAACATTCACATGTTTCAGCATGTTTTGGGAGTGTGTTCAGTGAAATAGCTGTGGGCAGAAAGGTGGTGTCAACACTGTCAACTGCTGCGCAGATGTTATATGGCCACTGTGCTCTGAAGTGAACTTTCAAAGTGAAATTCTAAAAGAGTGAGAAAAGGTGGAAACCAAAATATTTTAAATCTTTAATTTGTAATTTGTAATTCATCTCAGGCCTTAAAAGAAGTTGCACGTCATTTTTCTAGTCATATTTTGGCAATTTCAAGTTGAAAGGAACAGACTGACAACTTACTATTCTCTTACTTGGTGGGGGAAGACACAACATCAAGTTGTTTTTGTAGGCAAATTCGAGATATTGTGTTATTTTGTGGGCGGCACAGTGGTGCAGTAGCAGTGGTTAGCACTGCAACACCAACCTAGCTAGAGGGTTGTTGGTTTAACCCCCTGACAGACTGGGGCCCTTCTGTGTGGAGTCTGCATGTCGTCTCCATGTCAGCGTGGGTTTTCTCCATGTTCTCCGGCTTCCGTCCACAGTTCAAAGAGATGCAGATTAGGATATTTGGTGAATTTAAATTGCCTGTAGGCATGGGGTCAGGGGGAATATGGGTGTGAATGGTTATGTGTCTCTATGTGTCAGACCGGTATCGGAATCTATCCAGGTTGTACTCTGCCTCCTGCCCATTGTCAGCTGGGATTGCCTCCTTAAGAGGCAATGTATTTTCATCCTAACTCATCAAACATGCAAATATGATGTGCTAGCTACCCTACTGTGACATTCTGGGATGGTGTGTCAATTTATGCTTATCATATGCGTCTTTTCAAAACACAGTTGTGTTTTCAAAGGAAATGTACAAGGAAATGTAAAGTTGCTGCTAGTTACATGCATACAGTCTTTTTTGGGATGATGGTGCGTAGCAGCAAGGCAGTGCATACATGGGGCACTGGCACTATCCACTAAGCTACAGACGCCCCCGGCTTTATAATCTTATGGGACGCAAATACCTTTCTCCTGGGTGAAAGTCTGTGTTTATTGGACCCATCCACAACTCCTCCCACCTGCCCTACTCGGACTTTTGCCACCTTAACTTTCGTTCTTGTCCTGCCGCATTTTCCCCTGATACCACCAAGCACCGTTAAACTATAACGGCAACTGGCTGCGTGTCATGCTGACGTTAAAGGACGGCTTTTTTTGTCAGTGTCTGACACCGCAAGTCACTGGCCAAGCGCCGGTTTTCGAAGACTTCAGAGTGCGACTGGGCTCCAAAAGCAAATGGATGATTAAAAAAAACATCACAGCTTGGCTTATAATAGGTCACATGTGACATACATCATATGCTCCTACATAGTTGCCGGCAATGTCACAAACTGCTGTCGGTTTGTGTGTTTTGAAACAGCAAAATGTGCTTTTGTGCATCAATATCTCACGCAGAATGACAAAGAGGTGATATTTGACGAGGCTGCTAGCTGCCACCACTTGGTGCGCATCATACCACTGTGAAATGTGCCCTTGTGCATCGGTATCGGACGCCCAGATCACTGACTAAGCATTTGACGAGTTGGGAATGAGAACAGGTTGTAAGAGGATAAGCTGTTACAGAAAATGGTATTATTTCGTGAGCTTGGGTGGATTTTGTCACCATATGAGTGATCCAGGCTAGCTGTCTTGCCCTGTTTCCAGTCTTTGTGCTATGCTATGCTAAGCTAAGCTAAGCTAAGCTAACTGGCTGCTGCCTTACATTTAATACTGATATGAGAGTGGTATCGATCTCATCATCTAACACTCCTCCAGAAAACTCATAAGCGTATTTTCAAAAATGTCAAACTCCTGCTCCGAGGATCAGGCTGATAAGGCCCTATCTTAATATAAATGATAATTTATTGTCTTTAATCACTTGTATTCAGTTTATACTGAAGCATTAAAAGATAAACCAGCTTTGGGATCTCTCTTTCATTAAAAGAAGATTCTCTGATTATCCTGCAATCAATAGTTCCTCATCACAGATCCCAGGCCAGCGTGCTGTGCTTTTGTGTCACACAAGCTAATTAACTTTATTCACCTTTCATCCCCAGGTATAAATTTTATCCTTGACAAAGCAGCCAGAATGAACACCAGGACCCGAGTGAGAAGCTGTGGCTCTAATAGACTCTGACACTGCTTTGACAGAGCGATAGGCAGGTCTCCGATCCAACCAAACAGCACAGCAGGAGGTCCCGCTGATTAGCCCACCTTCAGCCGGAGAGGCGGAACTCATCCGTCAAATCACCTGGTGTTGTGCTTGGTTGGAGTGAAAACCCTGAGTCCCCCTGGAGCTTGGCTGCACGTGGTTGACTGTCCTTGATTTAAAACCATCAGATAATGAAAACATGTAATCATCATCAACTGTGTGTCTCATCTGCCACCAGTTATTCCCCGCTGCTCTGCTGTAACCTCCTTTATGGTGTCAGCATCTATTATTCATGTGTAGTATTGTGTCGACGACTCCCTCTCAACATTGCCTTTTTGGGGGTCACTGTAAACAGTATAGCAAACTGTTTATTTACATGTTGTTACATTCAGTAGCGCCCCTGTTTGTTTCTGCCGTGTAATTTGATTATTCATTGAGTGATTGGTGTAAAGCCCAGGGGACGCTGGCAGTAAACTGTGATCTTAACACATAATAAGCCGACAGATAGAGAGGTTGAAATGCTTGACATAGTTTAAATAGGCAGAGTTATGACTGCTCTAACAGAAGCTCACTGTATGCATTTATAAAATATGCACATCTCTACTCCTTCGCTCTCAAACACACACACACACACACACACACACACACATCCATATTCACAAGCACAGGGTGTATGTGTGTGAGATAAATATAGATTGGCTTTTCCTTTAGCACTGAGGTGACTGTCGCAGCTTTGAGAGGTCAGGATGTTGATGTGTATGCATGTGCGTGTGTGTGACTGCGCTCCATTCATTAATAAATTATGACTCATAAGTTATTTAGACCTGTTTACTTATAAACACACCCCTTCCTCCTTATTCACTGCACAGTTTCTTACAGCTAGATTGTCCCACGTGTGTATATATATATATATGATTTACTGTATATTACATTTTGTTGTGTTATTAAGTCAGAAGAAGGAAGTCAGTTCTGTCGCAGACCTACAGGGATGGACTAGGCTTGTGTTCGTCTTTTGTATCCGTCCACGCAATCCAGGGTAATTCAGTAAGGCTAAAATCCAGTCACTCTTTTTACTTATTATCTTTTCAAAATGTTAATTCACTGGATTGTTATCACAGACGGGATGAATGTCAGATGAGAGTAAAGACAGCAGAGTATGAAAAATGACATGTGGGACAGTCTCCTGTTCTTTAACCACGGGGCTGCTTCACTCTCATTTTGCACGGAGCAACTTTGTCACCTGTTTGCTCAGTTGCTCTGCTTTCATCTAAGTGAAGCTGAAGGTTTTTTCTGATTCCATTTTAAGACAGAGTTTTGAATGTCATCACAGCAACTGATTGCTCTAGATCTCCAAATCAGTCCTGACACCGCACTGCATGCAAAGCCTGTTATTTTGCTAATTTCAAATTTAGGAAACCATCAAAGGCAGAGTCATAATATAAGATAAAGCTGAGCAGCAAGTACAAAGATTGAATTTCTTTTTGCATATACAAAGTATACAGTATGATTGACCCAAAAGAATAACTGCAAATTAGCCTACTGTGATGGAGGGTTTTACATGGGATAAATAAAACATTTACCAAGATAGTTTTGTTGTTGCTTGTCTAGTAAGAGTCTGTAAAGATCAATTCCTGGTGGCAAGGGAGCTTCTGGCTTCCATTTAACATATCGTAGGCTTTTCTATAAGCTTTATAGCTGTCTAAACCTTGGACTGGAATTAGTCAAGTTGTCAAGACAGGCCGGCCTCGGAGTCCAGGGGGAAAACACCCTTTGATTTCATCATATTACCAGCTCTGTGCCAAATACCCGGCAGTTTGGAGCCCTGCCAAGTGGAGTGTGGGAGTACTCTTCCAGCTGAACTTTATCTAAAGACAACGGAAGAGATGCCGCATTTGTAGTTATATTTTGATCGTTATTATTTGCACTGTACGCTCCATTTGAAAATGTTGAGGTGATGAAGACGCTTTGTTTCAAACAGTGATAGAAAGAACTCAAGTATTTTACTTAAGCGTAATTTTTGTACTTGATTATTTTCATTTTATGTTACCTCATGCTTCTACTCCAATGCATTTTACAGGCAAATATTCCTTTGTTAGTTCGTTGGCTTATTTCTAGTTACAGTTCAGTTTAAGATTTAAGATGCAATCAAAAGACATAATAAGCTAATTAGATTCAATGAATTGTTAAAGATTTAACCAATGTTTCCCAGTGTTTCTGGTTTATGACCCCTCACAAAAAAATTACTGTGTGCCTCCCCACGCTATGAGTTAATCGCATTTCCATCAAAGAATGATTTTTCCCTCTCTAAACTTCTTAGACGGCTCCATTTAAATAGTTGTTTGAAGCCCAATGAGGTAAAACGATCCAATATTTAAAATAAAAAAGCAAAGTTTCAAGAAAATCCCTAAATATCAATGCAAAATTAAATCACCATCTCACAACCCCTCAAATTAATCATGGGAATAATAGGGCCCAACCCCATCTGTGTCTCAAGTAGTTATAACCAGCTCAGCCTCAATCTGCTACACCATGAAATGCTCCTTAAAAGTGCTGTATATAACTCTGGAGGAAGAC